CTTCTCTCCTCCTCTCTCTCTCTCTCTCTCTCTCTCTCTCTCCATCTCTGTGTATATTTTTATTTTCAGTTGATCTTAGTTACTCTCTGTTTTTCCTTTTTTTGGGTCACTGTATATGCTTTTCATTTGATGTTATTTACTCTATTTGTTGATGAGGGGCTGGGTTTCAATTTATGGTGAGAGAAATGATTGTCTACTGTTTGATATCACTCTTAACTTTTTGCTTTTTCTTTTTTTGTAGATTAGTTGCTGTGATATATTCTTGAAATACGTGCTATCATTCTTCTTTCTTCTACTTTTTGTTACAAATTTAGAGATATGAGTCTGAATTTCAGTGAATAGTATGAAAAAATATTGCTCTAGATTTTTATATTTATTCTTTTAATTTTCTTGATTGTTTATAATGCTGAAAACAATAAGGTTTTTAGGAACCTCTGGCTTGCATAGCTAAGAACCTTGGATATTGGGATTTTATTTAAGATAGTGTACGCAGTTTACTAGATGTGTAAAGGGAAATACAACACAAATCTAAAAAAATAAAATAAACGGGAAACAAAATCATATTAAAATAACACAAAGATTTATGTGAGGTCTACAATAAAGTGGCTAAATAGGATGTCTCGGCGAGTTAAATCCACTATAAATGAAATTATATATATATATATCTGCGTTGGCAAAATGTTTTTGATCCTGAGATATATATATCTGCGTTGGCAAAATGTTTTTGATCCGCTCTCAGGCCCAAACAACAATCAATTTACTTGATTTCCAATCGCTGCACTGCTACCAAAATGAAGAGAATACTATGAGATTTTCTCTCTCTAAAAATAAAAGTGCTCTAACCCAGAACCCATGGGAAAACCACTTCTCTATCTTGGAGGCCATACTTCTCTCTCCAAGTTCTACAGATTACCTCTCTCTCTCTCTCGCTCTCTCTTGAAGACCATTCCCATAACCCATGGAAGGGTATCACCTCTCTTTGGCCCTCTTATATAGAGATAATTAGAGTTTCTTGCTTGCCACCCCCAGCAAACCCCTTTTTCCTTTCACCCAAAAGGCCTTAGTCCTCTCAATAATTTTAGGAAAATACAAGAGAGGTGATTTTGGTTATTTCCAAACTTAACATAATATTATTATAGTGCTGAACGTAATATTATTTATTTTTTCTTTGTTTCTTTTTTGTTTAGTATGTTAGTCACAAAATATTGTGCCATAAGTTTGAATTCAGTGGAAAAGTTGGAGTGAGGACACTCAGATTCAATCATTATCTTGTCAAATATTTTGTCTAATTTTTATCTTTTCCATCAAAACATAGGGCTCAATTTTGGTCGAGCATGGTATTTGAAGTGATTCTGTAGTTATAGTAACTTTCTACCTCTTTTTTTTTTTCATTGTTTGTGATGCTTTAAATTATATGCTTAATTATGTGTGTGTTCCAGATCTTTCCGTTTTTTTTTCTCTGACATCGTCCCCTTATTAGTCTTATCCGCTGATTTGGAATCTTTTTGTCTCTAATGTAGTACCGAAGTATATATGTTCCTTCTTTTCTTTATTTTGCTTTAATTTCATTCTTGATTCTGTGGTTTTCTAGTGGACCCCATCCATAACAAATCATCTAAGCTTATTGTCAATACTTTGTAATACTTTCTGAATTCAAATATGATGTTTCTTTGATCAAATTCAACTGAAAAATCTTAGCTGGCTCCATCATAATGGAAATACTTCGTACGTTCAGTGTTATGATATTTTGGTTTCTTTTGTTGCTTTTTTTATTTTTGGTTATTTGAGTGATTGAGAATGTTGGTTTCTTCTTCTATTTATGAAAGCTCTTTTTTATTTTTTTTAACCTGTCTTCTATATATGAAAGTTCTAATTCGAAATTTTGTGTCTGGATGTCTAGATGTGTTATTGTTCCTGCCAAGCGTGCGGAGGATAAGGATATAGCATGTGTTCATACCATGAATCATCTTAAGTTGATAAAGAGTATAGATTCTCTTTCGGCTATACCTAGATCTAGGATCGCAAGACGATTCAATTCGATATATCTCAGTGAGGGCTCAACTGAAGCTGCTTATCTTGCTGCTGGTTCAGTTCTAGAGGTATGAGTCATATGAAGCTTTTATTTGTTATGAAAATCGGGATTTGGAAGTGTTTAGTTTTCTGGTTTTGTATATGAAATGACATTTGTTTGTTTTATGAATGCGATATGTGGGTAACGGGTCTATGAATTTATAACATTATATTCCAGCTTGAACAATAGAATCTGTTATGAATTGATGCTCACTGCACATGATAGAATGATTATCTGTGACAATCTTGACAAGGTTGTTTGCTGATTATCAGACGCCTTCATTGATTTTTATGATGTTTTGTGAGACTTGGTGTATCCTTGGTGCTCCTAATCACAAATTTGTTTTTGAATTCTTATGTTGAAGCTTCATCACATATTTCATCTTTGTTTGGGACTGTAAGATTGACATGCATGTTGGGCATGTTTCGGGATGTTTGATGTGGACACATTTGACATGCATGTCAGTGTACTTGACATGTATGACATCTCATCAGACACGCCATCTGACACTTCCTAGGTGGACATTAGGTCTTTCTTGAAAATTTTCGAGTTGGTCACATGACATATGGCATGTTAAAACGTCGACATACGAGTCCACATTCTTTGCACATCTATCAAAATTTTGACACGCATATCTGTTAGGCACATGTCTTCTTAGTTATCTTGATAAATATCTGTTAGTTATTTGTATTCTTATTATTGTATTATTAATACATAATAAATCAATTTTATATACAATATGTGAGAACCCATGTGTAGACACTTCGACACCTAAACATTGTATGGCCTTTAGTGAATCTGTCATGTCTGAGATTCTACTTCCTGAGCATCTGTGTCGAGACACAGTGCACCTGTGTTGGACACCTAGTTATGTATAGGTGTTTCAGTGACAGGTCTGGGTGCATCATATTGCATGTATGAATTTTTTTATTTGTTAAATTTTGTTTAAAGATACCTAGAAAAAAAGTCTAAAATCGTATTCGATTTCTATCTGCGATCTGCATTATTAACAACTTTCCTGTTTGTTATCGATTCTTTTATTTGCTCATTCATAGGTAGCTGAGAGGGTGGCTAAAGGGGAGTTAAATTCTGGTGTAGCCATTGTTAGGCCTCCTGGTCATCATGCGGAGCCTGATGAAGCGATGGGGTTTTGTCTTTTTAATAATATTGCCATCGCAGCGCATTGCCTTGTTCATGAGAGGGTCTGTTTCTATTTTTTGTTGAAACAAACTTACTGAACTTGTGCCATATTACAGTCTCATCCTAGGGATTTCCCCACTGGATAATACAGCATGAAAATAATTTTAGCTCTCTTCCTCCTAATTCTATTATTTTAGAATTTTTTCCATTTTTACTTCACATTTGAGTTGAACATTTTGCAGCCAGAATTGGGAATTCATAAAATTCTAATTGTTGATTGGGATGTACACCATGGAAATGGTACTCAAAAAATGTTCTGGAGTGATTCTCAGGTGTTGTTCTTCTCTGTTCATAGGTATAAATGTTTTTACAGCTGACTTTCTCATTTATCAAATTGCTTTATGTTTTATTGGAAGTCAAAATATCTTTCAGCATTCAGAAGAATATTTATCTTCATAGCTGTTATCCACTGACCTGCTAGAGAGTCAAAGTTGAACATCATATACGAGGAGGACCAATTGCTACACTTGCCTAGATTGCTTGAATTATTGATGATAGTGAAACTTAGGCATATAAAATGTGACAGTGATTTCCTCCGAAAATTTCACTCCTCAAGTATAGAACATTAATAGAGTAGTTTTGATTTTAAATGCATATTTCCTAGCCTCTAGTGGAATATGCCTATTCTTCTACTTGATTGCCTAGCCAAACCCAAATCTGTCCACTCTACGAGCTGCCTATAATTGGAGGGGTTGCATCCAATATGTATTATACTACTTGTTTATGTAAATCGTGAGTGACTAAAGAACATTAATAACTGCTTGCTGCTAGTATGACTGCTCAAGTCTACAAAACAGATAGGACTGGTTCCCCTTTTAAATTAAAGTAATATAATTATTCTTAAAAAAGCTTGCCTTTGAAAGTCCTACTGGGATTCATGATGAGGTTCCAAAGTGGAATTCCATATAACTATCTATCTTTCAGGATGGACTTGAGTTTCTAATTTTAAAGTAAGTGGGCAATGAATTACGAACCCTGTTTACTATATATTCTTTTGTGTTCTTCTTAGGTTTCCACATCATTATTGATCGGTGGTTTTTAAGTTTCTGAAGTTTCCTTTGTCTATATCTAGGTTCGACTCAGGGACCTTCTATCCATCTGGAGACCATGGCTCCCATACCATGATCGGTGAAGGTGCAGGTATAGGATTTAACATAAATGTTCCTTGGGAGCATGGAAGGTGTGGAGATGCAGACTATCTTGCAGTTTGGGATCATATACTTATTCCTATAGCCAGGAGTTATGATCCAGATATGATTCTTATTTCTGGAGGTTTTGATGCAGGTGTTTGTTCCTATGTCCTACCAAACTACAAGGAGAACCATTTTTATCTAATATTCTCATAGAATCATGTGTGAACTGGAATTCCATGTCAAATGTTGAAAGAATTGGATTTGTTTATTTTTGGGCACTTTTGGTTGAATTGTTATATATATTATCAGTCACTGCATTAAATCAAGTCAATGTAAGATGTAATTCATCAACTGATTAAAAGCAATTAGGCATGCTTTGGAATTTGGTTTTCTGGATTTTAAGAACTAGATATTTTGAATGGCGTTGTCAAACTATATTTCTTGTCATCTATATTGTGCTGAAAGTTTGAAAGCCATTTCAGTTTTAGATATTTTGAATGGCATTGTCAAACTATATTTCTTGTTATCTATATTGTGCTGAAAGTTTGAAAGCCATTTCGGTTTTGTCAACAGCTATTGGTGATCCATTAGGCGGATGTTGCATCACACCTTATGGTTATTCAATTATGACCAAAAAGGTATGTTTCTAAGGTTAAGATTATGACTGCTATGCTTCTGTGGTTAAAATAAGCACAAATTGTTCAATGTTTGTCGTTTATGTGCTACAAAATGTAGCTTTCTTTTGTATTGTCTTGAATCTACATGAGTTTACTTGACTGGTTTTGTATTATGCTTCTGGTTTTGTAATACAATAGAGGTGGTCTAGAATCTACAAAAAGTCCTAGACTGGTTTTGTTGTTTTTCGTTTCTTTTTGTTCCAGCTGATGGAGTTTGCAAAGGGGAAGATCGTGTTGGCACTTGAAGGAGGATACAATCTTGATTCCTTGGAAAATTCGGTCCTTGCATGTGTAGAAACATTATTACGACAGGAAAAACCTACTATCAAGACTCCTGTATCCCATCCATTTAGATCAACTTGGAGCACTATACAAATGGTAAGGTGTTTTTCTTTTCTTTTTTTTTTCTGGGAAAATATTGGGCGGTACCTAGAGCACTTCCATAGATCGTAGAGCTGTTTTAGAACTTAAAAATATTGAGATGGTAATTGGACCTGTTGAACTTTTTGAAGTGATTGTTTTAGCACTATCATGTGTGTATAAATCTGGACAATAACGTAAAATAGCTAGGTGTCAAGTATTTCCTTGATATTGCAAGTTTCTAGACCACCTCTATTCTCTACACAGATATTCCATGTCCTGTCATATAGTAACTTTTTTTTTTTCAAGCATTCTGCCATAATAAATGTCTGTTCTTTTTTTTTTTCACAGGTGGGGGGAAGGAGTTTTTAACCTTATCATCTTCTTGTTCAGTGCATTTTTTTATGTCCAGTTTTCTTTAAAAATATCACTTTTATTTCAGGTGCGTAAAATACTCAGTCCATTCTGGCCTGTCTTGTCGGAAGAATTACCACAAGGGTTGTATGCGAATAGCAGACCTTATGTATTTGAGGTACTGCATTTCTAACCAATAAATGAGGCATGTTCATGTAATTGGATCGGGAACAGAAATTAAAGGAAGATAAAAATGAAAAATGTAACCAAACAACAATATGGATAAAGTCAAAGAAACGAAGCACTAACTCAAACCAGAGTAGTTAAAAAATTGGGAACTCGGTAATGCATCATAGAAACTATGTAGAACTATGGAATTGTTCAATAGACCATGGTATATGGTATTCTAAGCCTGCATCCACTATGTGTTTCCACCACTGTTTGAAAAATCTCTTATCCCGATCGGAATTGCCTAATCCGGATCAGAAATCATCCTTGGTGATCGGTTTCTGAAATATATCAGGAACCGGCCGTTAACCCCTTAGAACCAGCCGGTTGGGGCTGGTCCGTATCGGTTCTCTGACAAAACCGACTGGTTCTGCCAGAGAACTGGTTTCCTTGAATTTTTAATATATTTTTTTAAATTTTGTTGTTCGCTAATTTTGTAAATTTTATCACAATGAACCGGTTCATGTTTTTATTTTATTTTTCAATAACTTTTTTTGTTTTTTCATTTGAAATGTCTAAAAGTTTTTAATAAGCCTAGAGTGGTGGAGAGTCCCCTCCGTAATTCAGCTTTTACGACTTCTAATTTTTTCGAACTCTAAAACCTATTTATTAACGAGCCTCAAGCCTGGCCACGTGTAAGCTTACCTCAGCCCATGGGTACGGGCTGAACCTTGCTGTTAAGCGAAAGTGAGTGGGAAGAATATATATCACCTATTGCTTCCCTCGAGTCTTGACATGGGACAATTCTTTTCTCCTGTCCCCTAGATCTTCTTCTTAACGTGAATAAGTTTTGTAGGTGTATAACATTAGTTCACACTAAATGCGTAAATGGTCACATTTAAGTTCAATTAGCGTCGAGAAATTAATTTTTTGGTAAAATTAACCCCACTTTTCCTTGCATTTCTCTCTCCTTCTCCCTACTAACAACCTATTCCACTCTCTCTCTCTCCACTAACAACCTATTCCACACTCTCTCTCTACTAACAACCTCTCTCTCTCGCCTTGGCCTCCATCTCTCTCTCTCTCTCTCTCTCTAATAACAACCTATTCCACTAAATTTGTTTCCATATAGCTTCTTTCTAAAAACCAAAACTCCTAAGTTAATACAAAAGTAAAATAAATAAATTGAGTTAAAGAGATCTATTTTATTGCCATGAGTTGCATTTTAAATGCATTTTGGCTATAAAATGAATTTAATAGACAACAAACACTCAAATATGAGATAGGTTCTCAATATTTACATATTTTTGATACAATAATTGAAAATCATAATGCAATTGCCAAGATTTTTAGAATCCTGAAAAACTGGATTTTTGGGAATTTTTAGGTATTTTTTGAATTTTTTTTGAGGTTGAGACCGGCCGATTTTTCTATCCGGATCAACGGTCCACCGATCTGACACCGTTTTTTGAGTGGCCAATCTGGGTCACCGATCTATTTCTTTTTTAAACCTTGGTTTCCACCAGTAAATGGTTGGAGAACTATAGTGTGCCCCATTGGTCATTCAGCAGGGTGCAATTAATTTTGGTCATTTTAAGTGGAATAGAAAGTGGATTTAGTAGGGAGGACCAATTACCATGGTCCTTTGGCTACCTTATAGTTTCCCATAACTTATTTTAGTTGGATTTGTCTCTCACACACTACTATTGACCCAATCAGCCATCACGAGAGAGAAATGAGGCAACACTCTTGTATCATTTAATACTCAACTAAACAAGCATAGCCAAATTACACTCGAACATTATACTATACAACAACAAGAGTGCCCCATAGTCTTAACACATTGGACTACCATATACTTCCCTCTATCGAAAAAGGAAACTGTACTAGCATGTGCGTTATGCTTTTTGAAGGCTATGTTCTTTCAGTTTGAGTGTATCATTGGATTGCCTTTCCAGTTGAGTTCAAGTTCTGATTCTGATGCTGAGCACAAGGAAGAGTTCACAGCAAATTCGACTGAAGCCCCATCTGGTTCTGTTTCTGATGACTTTGATATTCTGGAGCCTCTTGGTATGCTGAAAATTGATGTTGATGGCCCTAAGGATAGGGATGCTTTGAAGTCTTCATTAAAGAGGGAGGAAATTCCTTGTGGACCGAGGCCGTTCCCTGATCAAATGGTTAATGTTTCTGTTCCTTGGAGACCAAAATATTCAGAGATTGACGTCTGGTATGCTTGCTATGGTTCGAACTTGGACAAATCAAGGTTTCTCTGTTATGTTCAGGGTGGACAGGTAGACATTCTTTTTCAGGGAAAGTATACCATAATCCAATGGACTATGGAGAACCATAGTCTATTGTAGTCATTGTTGTCCATTGAAATGATGAATGGTAATGAAGATTGGAGAAATAGTGTGAACCACCAATGGGATCATGTTTTGTTGGGGAGTAATTTATGCGCATATCCTCCTGAAGTTCTGTTATTTAAGAAATCACTGAATTTTTTTGCATAATTACTTTCATACCCAAATTGTTTTGCCCCAATTGAAATGATGACATCGCCCCTACTTTTGGGAATTCATGATCCGAAGTTCAACTTTTGTAATAAAATACTTGGACCTCTTCTCAAGTGGCAATAAGGCTAAAAAATACTTCGGGTCTTGAAAATCCGAAGTTCTCTAAACGTCAGAATGTAAAAATCTGTAGTTTTCTCTACATACATCAAGTATGCCCTCTTGCCGAAGAACTTTCACAGAGAAAATTGGATTTTGACAATCCAAAGTTGGGCACTTTGAGAAAAAAATTATAAAAAATGCGTATGAGCATAATATTGAAATTTTCAAGGAGTAGGGTCACACTTTTCATCATGCTTCTGTCATTATTTCATTGGATAGCAATGACTCCAATGGATTATGGTTTCCCATACTCCATTGGACTCTAGTGTCATTTGCGTTTTTTTTTTATGGTAGCAGTATATGAACCATATTAACTGCTTTCGAATTCTTCTTTTTAGTTGGATGGCATGCAAATCATATGTAGGGGTGCGAAGGATAAAAGTCCCCCAAAAGAAATCTCATGGCGAATGGTTCCCCATCGTTTATTCTTCGCATATGCTGAGACAAAAACATGGGGTCCTGGAGGAAGTGCGTTCCTACGTCCCAAAAGGAATGATTGCGAGAAAACTCATGTATGCATGTATAAAATAACGTGAGTACATATTATACTGCAGTTTTTTCTTCCTTTTCTAATATTACAACCATTCTTATAATTTATTGTTTATCAATAATATTATTATTAGGGCATGGTTTCTATGAGTCTTTGGACTCATATGTAGAAATGCGTGCCCCCTTAATAATTCATCTTTGAAATAAGTTTCGACTCTGATTTTTAAGGAGTATATAATCCCTAACATGGAGTTCATTAATGTGTAAAAAACAATATTAAAAAATAAACGCTAAAAGTGATATTTTTTAGAAAGAAAAGTTGGAGCCATTTATTTTACATATTTCTTTAGGGACCATCACTTACATCCATCGTTAGATAGATGGTTTATGCCTTGGGGGATGCAAATGTCGAAATGCGTCCCCCGACGAATAAACTACTTTTCCTTATTATTACTTTTCTTTTGGTATACAAAAACTAAACAAAATACATTCTTATTCCTATAGCTGGAATAATAATAAGGAAAACGTTTGTATAAGGATGCGACCTTCTTTATAGAAGTAAGGTTGTAGTAACCCACATTGTCCATAATTTATTTGGATGGTGTAGATTTATCGTATTTTAAAAGACATGCCACTTTTTGCCACCAATAGACATGTCAAATCTACAGCGTCCTGCTGTAATAGATGGTGTAAAACGTTACAAGGTTGCAACCTTATACAAACCGCACCCTAATAATAATAATAATAATAATAATAATAATAATATATATATATATATATATATATATTATTATATTATATTATATATATATATTATATATAGTTAGTACTAGTACTATTAGTTATACGTTACGTT